TTTAGAGGAGGAAAGCGGGGACAAAGATTAGGGATGTAAACCGGTTTCAGCTGCCCAGCACGATATAATATCATCTGATAAACAGTACATTTATATACATGTTTAAGCCAGAATGATTTGACATTTAATATGATTTCTCTACGACTTTAAAACAAAGGATCTGAATAAATGATTAGTAGAACTATAATATGTTGAAGTAAGCATTCAGCTCTTTCTCTTCCAAAAACAAACAATCACACATAAACTTGAGTCCCAAAGAATGTGAAACCTCCTGTAACGCTTGGTGGCGATGCGCCAGATGATGTTTACTGAATCAGATTTAAAACCAAACCAATTAAGATGACAATGAGGTTTTGGTGAAAGGATCAGGAAGCTGTTCACATCTCCACAGCTCAGCTGTTCTTGGCAGCAGAACCGTTGTTGAAATGTTTAAACAGCTCAAAGGAGGTTGGACTTTTGCTGATACAACATTCTCCATTAAACCTTTACTAGACTCCAGTTTCTCTCTCCTTCCAAAAATTGTGTCTACGTCCAGAGGCCTTCGTTTTCTGTCCAATCAGAGTTCAGAATGACACATCCAATCACTCCAAATGGAACGGTTCTGTAGAAACTGGACCTCAAGGTTCTGCTCAACCTGGAAATCACCGTAGCAACCATCCTCTGTCTCAAGTTGCTTCATCACTCACCTCCTCTCTGTATGTTCATCCATCATGGCTGCCCACATAGAAGCCATATAATTTTTGAAATCTGATTCTTTCACATTTGATTAGGAAGCAATGATGATAATCAGTAATTTTCATCTCAAATCAAATAAAAAAAAACAAAAACTAAGCAGATGTTTTAACGTGGGCTTTCAAAATAAAGCTTGCAGATACTCCAGTGAATCAAGCTTCCTTTTTTAGAGCGTTTTACACAAATTGCTGTACAGGTCCATAAAATGAAGGAAATGAAAATATATATGGAACAGAATGAAATTAAACATAACATCTAAAGTAATAAACAAAAAAACCCCACAATAAAACAAAATAATAAAAAATGAGGGAAAAACTTTAAAACATCCACAGTTGAAGCGCAATGTGTAAAGCGTGTGTATTTTTGTATTTTGAAAATACAAAAATGCACAACACTGAAGTATTTTGATAGCAAATAGGAAGGTATTTTCATCATCTCAATAAAATACAAATTAAACAATAATATTTTGTATTTGAAATACATATTTCAAATACTTGTATTAGAAATACTGCCCATCGCTGCACGCATTTATTACTTATTTTGTTGTAAAAGGCTTGATCAAGTGGTATTACTAAAATTAAGCGTAACAGTCAACAATAAGAAGTATGACAACTGAACCATGTAATATAAAATTTTTGGCTAATATCGGACTGATATTCAATATTAATATTGGATTTGGAAACCCTTACTGAATATATGAACAATATAAAGATGTGGACAGAATCATTTTTTTTTTCTTCTGGTTATTACTTCTCTTTTTTTTCTTTGGTTACTTTCTCTTCCCTCTCGATGGGCAAAGTGTACGGATGGCCTTCCATTTCATCAGAAGACAACAATTAGAACGATCTACAGTCATCTTTGCTTGTTCTATAATCGCCTTCCACTTACAACACATCTTCATGTGCAAGCAAAACACAGATGGCTAACTAGTTTGACCCCTAACAGCTACCATAATAGAAGATGGGGACACAATGGCTAATCCCTTTATAGGGCACTACACTCACTACACACTTTATTAGGTACACCTGTCCAACTGCT